GATCATTTCTGCAAGTCATCTTTTGTCTTTGTGATTAAGTCATAAATTAATGGTCTGAATCCTGATTTTGTTCCTCCTTAACTGTGTAACTTCTGTAGAGTTGCATAGCTTCCCTAGGCCTATATACTTATATTTTAAATGGAGGTAATAGGACCTACTCCATAGAAATGGTTTAGGATTAAAGGGGATCGTGCATGAGAACTTCTAAGTACAGTGCTCCCCACTTTGGTAGTGCTAACTTATAGAGCCATTATTATCAGTACAAAGCTCTGCCGTAGGTGTTGGGAGTAGTATGGCAAATAAGTCACTGTCTCAATTTATCCACCGTTTATCTCTCTATAGCTATCTGTCTCACAAATACAGGCAGTTTGTGAATTACAAATGCATTCTGTTCTTAAACCTGGTTTTCAGTTGAGTGTGTATGTAATTCAATCCAACACAGTTCATATCTAATGTCTCCTAGTCAAATGTGCGTCTTATCATGTACCTTTCTACGCATAAAGACATTCAAGAGGCACTTCCAGATTCACTAAAGCATCTTTAACATTATCAGCAATAACGATAATAGTGTTTGATATGTGTCGCAAAGTAACTCCTATTTGTTATTATGAACCCGTGTCTGTACCTGGAATATCACTGTAATAGGCTTTCAAGGGGTTTGGTTTATAACTACGGGTGGTAAGTTAATCATTCATAGCCTGAGGAGAGCCTGTAAGTATTTATAGCTGTAATATGAATTTAATACTCATATTATCCCATTGTTCAGAACATGAGAGATTTTTTTCACAACTAGTGAATAAGTAGCAAAACTATGGTTTAAAACTAGGGTTTAAACTCAGGTTTATGTGATTTCCTAGAAGCAGACATCCTAACTCAAAGAGTATTCATATTTTAAGGTTATTATAACATGTTGCCAAACAATTTCCTTTTTTTCCCCTAAAGAGAGTTAACCACAGAAACATTAGATTATCTATTTTCAAAACCAAGCCTGAGTCAAACCCTATGTCATAGGCAAGTAGGCCACATTTCATTTAACTTCTTTCAAATTAAGCAGAAAATTAAAATAGCGCATCTAAAGAAGTAAAATTACTTCTCCAGGGGACCAGTAGAAGCCTTTGGAAAAGGGACAATTTAATCGTGTATGTATCACAAGTTATTCAACTCTTTAGCTATTTTGATGATAATAGACTGCAGATAGATGATTTCTCCTGTAAAATAGCAACTATATTAAAACAGGAACATAATGTAATAATTTTACAATTTAAATCTCTTTTAGTTCGAACCCACTAAAATTACACCCGTGAAACCTTGCTATTATGATGAACAACAAAGGGAAATTTGGCATTTTCAAAAAATGCCTCACATTTTACTCCTTAATACCTATGCAATAAATTTGATTCATAATCCTCTTTTTAAAAAGGGGGAAAAGCATTAATATTATTCTTTTAAAATATGACTATGAAGGAATAATCTGTAAAGTGAAGCAGAAAAGTTGAGCTAACTGATGCTATTGCACGTTAATAAAATTTGGCTGGGTGGTAAAGAGAAGGCTGAATAAATTTAGATGTAAATGAAACACAATAGAAGACTATGGTAACAATGGTCAGTGAGAACTTTGCTCTAGCGGAGAGTGGGAGTGAGGTAGGGACTATGACCAAGCTGCTTTGGAAAACAAGTACATTATTTAATCTTGGATTATTTTCACTGTTAAAATCCATATCCCCCACCTCGGTCCTAACAGAAAGTAAAATCAGCCACATGCACAAATGCCTTGAGTGAGTTTGGAGAGAAAAAACACGACAGAAAAGTCCTGCTTCACAAAACTGCCAGTGCACAGAAGAAACGAGATGAGACATCGGAGAGCGATGCTAGAATCGGAGTGGAAGCACAAGATTGAAATGTTAGGGAAGGAAGGATTTAGAAAGGACACAATGAGGAAAATCCTAAGTCCTCACCTCTCAGGAACCTCCTTAAGTAATGTTGCCCGATAAAATATACAAGTTTCCACGAGATGTAAGTTACAGATAAGCAAGAAATTCTTTTGAATATAAATGTCTCAAATATTGCACAGGAAGAATCTACAAAGATAATTATCTGTTTTATCTCAAATGAGAATTTAACTTGTCCTGTGTCTTGATGTGCTAACTGGGAGATGGACTCTTCAGAACTATGGACATCGTTAGAATGATGGCCCTTTCTGTCTTTTATGGGACTTGTTATTTTGAGGTGCCATTGAGTCGGTTCAGACGCATCGCCACCCTAGGTAGAACAGAATGCAACACAACCCTCTCATGGGCCATCCTCACAATTGTTCTTATGGTTGATCCCCTGTGACAGCCAGCAGGACACGTCAATGGAGGTGGACAGATCCAACCTCTTCTGGCTTCCCTGTTGCCACAAAACAGTGATCAGATATGCCTTCATCCTCCATCCTTCTTTACTCTACTCTGACACCAGTCATTCCTTCCATGGCAGTCTACTTTTATGCTGGAGTTGATCATTCATTGCAAGGGCCACATAAAACTCACAGGCAATATTCAGGCTTAAGGGGGCTTATTAGGGAAGTCAGTAAGTTACCACGAGGCAGCATCAGCAAGCAGAAGGGTATAGTCCTTGGTCCACAGCAATACTTCTCAATCTGCAGCCAAATCTCCTTCAGGTCCTCGGTCTCTCAGACATCTAGACCACTGGTCTTTGCCTCCATGAGCCCAGAGGCCAGCCCTCCTGTCACTCAATCTGAAGTTCCGTAGCAAGCAGTTCAGCATTGCTTGAATTGGAAACATGAGGTTGGGAGACCCAGACTTGGCCCAAGGGGTGTCCATACTTTCTCAGGATAGTGACAAAAGCATCAAGGGTTGTAAGTAAGAGTGTGCGACTTGATCATGCAAGTAACTTTCAGTGCTTACTTCAGCGGTGACAAGAAAATAGTGAGGCGAGAATAGTCCCAGGGAATCTAGGGAGGAGAGTCCGCAACAAAGATATTATTACACAGGCCTAATTTCAATCGGAAACAAAAAGGAGGGATTCATCCATCCATGAAGACTAAGGGCTAAACCCTGTCCTAAGCAGGGGATATATAGATGCAAACAAAGAAATTTTCAACCTCATAAAACTTATATTGTAGCAAAGAGAAATTCATTTTTCAGATGTAGATTGGTAAGTTTTTTTAAAGATGTACTTGATTTTAACTTCTATGTTTAAATACTATAATAAAAAGCTGTGCTAGAACTACACTCAAAATGGTAGTCACAAACCACACACAGCTAGTTAAATTTAAATTAACAAATTTAATGGATTAAAATTAAATAATCTTGTTTTCTTCTTCAACAGCATTGATCAAAATCCTGCTGTGAGGTTGATTCTGACTGGCAGTGACCCCATAGGGTGGGCTAGAAATGCCCTATGAGATTGCTGAGACTAAATCTTCATGGAAGCAGACTGTGACCCCTTTCTCCTGAGGAGAAAGGCTTCAAACCACTAGCATCTTGGTGAGCCATCGGCACTTTAGCCCCTGTGTCCCCAAGGGTGCCTCCATCAGCACTAGCCATGTTTTAAAGAGGGGTTCAATAATCACAGCTAGGGCAGCATAGATGATAGAACATACCCATCCGGCAGAAAGTTCAAAACGGAGCGACCTTAAGCTCGATGGTTCATGTAAGAGCATTATAAGGAGATTCTTATACGCACTGCGGCCCGAATGATGGGAGAGAGTCAGTCATAACAAAATGGCAGAGGGAGGAAGAGCAAGAGTCCTGAAGAATGAACCCAGTCAATTTGAGAAAGAAAAAGAAGGCTCATATTTCAGATTGAATGCAAAGGGGAGAGTGGTAAGAGAAGGTAAACATTGGAGTGGGGCACTGTAGACCAGGCTATAGGATCTGAAATGTATTCTAACTTCACAGGAAGTTAGTGGAGGGAATAATTTAGGTGAACAGTATGATATGATTTATGTGGTAATTTTATTAAATTACTTTGACTAGTTTGAAGGGAAGAAACAGCAGTACAGAGAAAAT